GGATGGGATCCATGGGATGGGATCCATGGGATGGGATGGGATCCATGGGCTGGGATCCATGGGGTGGGATCCATGGGATGGGATGGGATGGGATCCATGGGATGGGATCCATGGGATGGGATGGGATCCACGGGATGGGATCCATGGGATGGCCCGGCGGGATCCGGCGCGGAGCCGCTGACGCCGTGGCTGTGGCAGGTACGTGGATTACCCCATCTACGACGTGCTGCAGATGGTCGGCCACGCCAACCGCCCGCTGCAGGACGACGAGGGCCGCTGCGTCATCATGTGCCAGGGCTCCAAGAAGGTGGGGGAGGCAGCCGGGGACATTCCCGGGATTTCAGCCGGGATTCTCCTGCTCCAGCTGCCGGATGAGCCTCACTCGGGGCTGGGATGGGATCCCTGGGATCCAAACCCTCCCTCAGGGCTGGGATCACCACGGGGACCACCCAGACCCTCCCGGGGCGCCACACTGGGAATTCCCGCGGCGTCTGTGGGATGAATCCCTGAATTCTCTCCCTCTTCCCGCCCGTCCTGCCCCAGGATTTCTTCAAGAAGTTCCTGTACGAGCCGCTGCCGGTGGAGTCGCACCTGGACCACTGCATGCACGACCACTTCAACGCCGAGATCGTCACCAAGACCATCGAGAACAAGCAGGACGCCGTGGATTACCTGACCTGGACCTTCCTGTACCGCAGGATGACCCAGAACCCCAACTACTACAACCTGCAAGGTGGGAATGGGAGCTGCGGGGGGATCTGGGGTGGTTATGGTGGTGGCAGTCCTGTCCTGTCCCATCCTGTCCCTGTTCTCATGGATCCAGTCCCATCCCATGGATCCCATCCCACCCCTGTTCCTGTCCTTGTTCCCATCCCATGGATCCCATCCCAGTTCTCATGGATCCCATCCCAGCCCTGTTCCCATCCTTATTCCCCCCCTATTCATCCCATCCCTATTCCCATGGATCCCATGGATCCCATCCCATGGATCCCATCCCATGGATCCCATCCCGTGGATCCCATCCCATCCCATGGATCCCATCCCATCTCATCCCATCCCATGGATCCCATCCCATCCCATCCCATGGATCCCATCCCATGGATCCCATCCCATCCCATGGATCCCATCCCATCCCATGGATCCCATCCCATGGATCCCATCCCATGGATCCCATCCCATGGATCCCATCCCATGGATCCCATCCCATGGATCCCATCCCATGGATCC